TGGTCCTGCAACTGAAAATCAAAATTAAATGTATGAATGGGAATTCTTTTCTTTGTGTGTGAATCCAGAGCAGATCTGTTTAGAATAACATCTTTATTCCATATTAGTATTGCAAATGCACCATTCATCTGTAGCAGGAACAATCATTTGTTCTAGATTTCGATGTCTCAGCTTCCACATATGTATTTCTGTATTTTCCCTGCACTTTGCTGTGTAGCCTTTAGGCTCGGTGGATTTTAAATTGACTCTTGTCTTTTGAGAGGGAGTTATAAGAGAAAATAACAGTCTGAGTGAGAAAAAGCAAGCTGTGCTGACTAGCCATTTTGATTTGGGGAGAAGAAGGAAGATACCGAAGGAACAAAAGCAAAGCCTCTGTTTTCTAAGCAGATGTGAGCAGTCAGTTTCAGTACATTCTTAAAACGGGGTCAGGTAGCTCTACCTTCCACAGCCTAGCATTATCAGTGTTACTTAATCTAAACATGAATGAATGGAAGGATTTCTCCCACAATGGATTACAAAGTCAAGAGTAAACCAAAATCCAGCAGAAATCCTTTTAGTTATTTTTACAAGAGTTAGATTTTTGCTTCTCAAATTTACAATGGAAATTTGTGTAGATAATCTCAGATTAGTTTGTGCATGTGTGTGTTCTTCCCCCCAAACATGGGTTTTTGCAGTGACAGAAGAACAGAACAATTATTTTGGAGTATGGATGTGACATCTAAATAATAAAAAAAGAATCCATTTAAAAACAAGCATCTTAGAGCTTTGGGGATTCCCCCTCCCCTTCACTATGCATTATTCATATTAGACAAGGCGACCAAACGTGTAATCTTCCTGTGCAATTACCAGGAGAACATACTCAAAGACATATGCTAGTGCCTCTCAGTGGAAGGAGATGTGCAAGTAGTGATTATTTACTAGACACTGTCATGAAGTCAGCAAGTTTGACTCTGAGGTTGCAGCTTAATTTACTTTCCAATAGTAACTCTTTGTACGCATCCAATAAGCCACTCCAGCATGTGGTTGGTGTGTACATGTGTTCAGTGCTTTGCTTCTCTCATGCACTGTTTAAGAAATATGTTTTGCATTGATTAGGTGTTCCTATACAAGAGCTGGCGAATGAAGGACAGGCCATTTTTAAATTATTTACAGCCTTGGCCTTTTACTGAAAGCAAATCATCAACTAAATCTAGTTTGTTATCCTTACAGCCACTGGGTTCATTTCTCTTGAGCACAGCCACTACAATAAAGATCATCTCCTCAATTTATTGTTCTCTTGATTTGATAAATACATGTCCTGCAAGAAACCTCTCACAGAGTGTGTTCAGCTAATTCAGGCCCCAACATTCATTTTTGCAACTTTTCTTTCTTTCCTTCTTTCTACTGTTGCTTGTTTTTAATCTGCTAGGATGCATGGATTCTTCCTCCCAGTTCTTTAACCTCTCCCTTGACAGGCAGTGGCTAGGCCCATGTAGGAAATGCATTTCTCTCATTGAGCTAGACAGTTCCAGGATCTTTTGGCATTCTATTCTCATGAGGAAATCCGACAGAGGAATGGAAAGGGTTAAGTGTGCCATCATTCCTGTTATTCGTGGTATTATTTTAGTTCATGCCTTGAGGTCAGTCAGTTTGCAGCTCATTGTTCAAGGTCACATGGAAGTAATTCTGGGATGTGATTGAGCTATAGAGTCAAGGCTCTTTTTTTAATGGCTTCATTGGACACCGATGGGTATGATCATTTCCAGAACAAAGAGCCATGCAGTGGATGTAGCTTCCAGCAAGTAGATGCATTCAGACTGAACGGGGGCGAGGGCCTATTCTGCAGCAATAGGGAATTCTGATATGCCTTGTTCCCCGCTTGCGATCTGTCTTACTTGCTGCCTGAGATGGCAGACAGATCCTACACTGAATGAAAGTAGAGCAAAGTGATCACAAATCCATGGCACACAGATGAACTAATGTTATGGACTGTATAGACACCACTGGAGCCAGAATGCAGAGCTCAGGCCTGCATTATGCCCTGATTCATATGCAGTTATTTAAAAGGTAAAACCAAAAAGGGATATTCTCGGCAACAAGGAAGTGTCAGCCTTCATTTCATTTTTGCTCCCAACCTTGGCAGCCAATTTTGTCCCTGTTCTGACTCAGTAGCAGGGCTGAGTCCTGGGGACTTCTGTGGGGGTTGTGTTCGCCCAGAAGGAATCCTGGGCCAGTCAATGGATGTGTGTTGCCCGTGATCCCCAGGTTATGCCATTGCTCTGGGCTAGCCCTACCCTGGAGCACAGTGAGCCTAAGGATACACATTTCCATGCTGCTGCCTTAGGGACGGATGCACAAACCCCAGCTCAGTGGGAGCTCAGGCCTGCATTATGCCCCGAGCACACTTTGTGAGCACACTTGAAAATCAGACTGCTTTGTTTTAGAAGCCTAAATGCAGTCATAAGAGCCTGACTCAGCGTCTGATAATGTTGGCAGCCAAGCCATTCATCCACAAAAACTGTGCTCGTCTTCTTGTCCACAGTATACTCACTGTATTAGTTGAACGCATGTGTGCACACACAGGATTGAAACCCAGGAACAATTTGGGGGGCAAAACCCCATCTGTTCCTAGGTGCAGTCTCATTTGTCAAATTTGAGATCACGGAAAATACACAGTTCATCTACTGTCTGTAGGTACTTACCTGTCCTTGGCTGCAGGCTTCATTCCTATTGCATCTGAGAGATTCACTCTCATTATGGTAGTTGTCTTCACAACATCCCTGGTGAGGCAGGGCAGTGCTGTTATTCCTATTTTTCCGGCGGGAATCTGAGGCACAGCGACTTGCCCAAGGTTGCACAGAATGTCTGTGGCCGAGCAGATTCTTGAGTCAGAGTTTCCTGAGGTGCAGGTCAGCACCCTGGACCAACCTTGGCTTTGCTAAATGCAGGAATGGAAAACACAATGGAATGTAGACAGTTGCCCCAAAGGCTGAAACTGCAGCTGTGTAGCTGCTTGTCTTCACTTGGGCTGACTTCCTCCCAGGGCACAGAGAGATTGACCAGTAAAGGGAGGTACCAGTAATACCTCCATGAGCCGTCTTGGGAGAGTCCGACCCACCCAACCACTCAGAAACACAATACACCAAGTGACCAGGAACCAGATTTGTCAGAGTGGTGGAAGGGTGCTTTTTAAAGAAAGTTAATAAAGATGACAAAACTTCTTTGAATGACAGCGTGGCGCTGACAGGCTTCACATGAAGGGGAAAAGAGCAGGAAAGAGGCCCTTGTCATTCCTTTCGGCACTGCCTGCAGTTGGTTTTTAGTCAGTTACTTGCACTGCAGAAGAGCTTTGTCTGAAAGTCACCTGGGGTATAAACCAGGTTGAAAAAGTTCCCTTGTTCATCATTACAGGATCTGTTGCAATCTCCTTGCCTGACTGGCATGTACACTGAGGGGTCAGCAGCAATACACTTCCCGTGTCAGCTGTCTCTATGTTTGGTCTGATTTTATCCATTGCTGTTTTAACTTTTCACTGCCAGTAAGGTTGGCCCCAGAGGTATTTCCCAATGCCACTCTCAGATCTAACAGGAAGAGAGTCCTTTAATAAATCTGCCTTGGCCGGAGTACACATAGCAGATTGGTTCAATGAACTTCCAGGCCTGGCTACTCAGTGACGCACAGCACAGAGATGATTGCCAAGATGAACTAACCCAGTCTGTGTTAATTCCAGCCGTCATACAGCAAAAGAGTGTCTTCAGGATCCTTCACCATACTACTCTACAGGTGGAGTTTGGGTTCCACTAAGAAATGCAGGATCAGAACTCATTCAAAATCAGATATCTAGTCACCATGGTTTAAGGCTTACTGTGATGGTCAACAGTAGAGAAGTTCAAAAATTTTTGAAACTCATAATCTCACAGCAAAACAAGGATAAAACATTTAACAGTTCTGAAGGTGAAAATGTTCCTCAAATACAGTTACAGACATTGTAAAAAAACAACACAATGTGGATGAAATTTTGAATTAAATAGCAAAATATTATTTTTTTATAAGAATTTTCAGGAAATGTATGCTCCAGTGTCTGACTAGCTCTAATCAATGATCTCTTCAGGCATCATTTAGGGCTTGTCTAGATTTAGGAAGTCACACCAGTTCAACTGTACTGATACAGTTTTCAGTAAACAGTCTGTAGCCATGCAAAAGGGGATTTGACTCCAATCAGAATTTGGCACAAACTTATGTGATTTGTTGGATAGAGACCAAGATATCTGGTAATGAACAATGGTGACAAAGAAAATATGGAAACCACCCTAATGTGGTTGCAATAGGATATGTGCTCTGGAATATGCTCAAGTATGAGAGGACATGCGAATGTGGTCTCCTTGCACATAATAACATAAGAAGGGCCATACTGGATCACACCATCTAGTCCAGTATTCTGTCTGCCAACAGTGGCCAATACCAGATGCCCCAGAGGGAGGGATCACAACAGGTAATCCTCATGTAATCCTTCTCCTGTCACCCATTTCCAGAAAAACAGAGGCTAGGGACACCATTCCTACCCATCCTGGCTAATAGCCTTTGATGGACCTAACCTCCATGAATTTATCTAGCTCTTTTTTAAACCCCGTTAAAGTTCTAGCCTTCACCACATCCTCTGGCAAGGAGTTCCACAGGTTGACTGTGCGTTGAGTGAAGAAAAACTTCCTTTTGTTTGTTTTAAACCTGCTGCCTGTTAATTTCATTTGATGACCCCTAGTTCTTATATTGTGGGAATAAGTAAATAATTTTTCCTTATTCACTTTCTCCACACCAGTCATGATTTTATAGACCGGGGTGGCCAACCCATTCTGGGCAAAGAGCCAAGGCAGAAGTGGATCCAGTGCAAAGAGTCGGCACAAAGTTGTCGAGCAAAAAAAAAAAATAGAGAACTGCCCCTTTAGGAAACTGCAGTTAAACACATTTTGAGGCTTTTTGGCCACAGCAGGCTCCTGCCGCCTGCCTCCATCTTTATTTCTGCAGTTTTCATGGCCGCACCAGACAGCTCCCCTGCCCAGGTCAGCACAGGGAGACGGGAGGAGAGGGCCGTTTTTGGGGGCGCGGAGGCGACTTTCAAGCCATGGGGGATGGGCTTCATGAGCCACACTTCGGGGGAGGGGGAAGAGATGCATGCGGCTCATGAGCCTCAGGTTGGCCACCCCTGTTATATACCTCTATCATATCCCTCCTTACTCTCCTCTTTTCTAAGCTGAAAAGTCTAAATCTTTTTAATCTCTTCATAGGGGACCTATTCCAAACCCCTAATCATTTTTGTTGCCCTTTTCTGAACCTTTTCCAATGCCAATATATCTTTTTTGAGATGAAATGATCATATCTGTAGGCAGTATTCAAGATGTGGGCGTACCATGGTTTTATATAGCGGCAAAAAAAGATTCTCTGTCTTATTCTCTATCGCTTTTTTTAATGATTCCTAACATTCCGTTTGCCTTTTTTCCTGCCGCTGCACACTGAATGGATGTTTCCAGAGAACTGTCCACAATGACTCCACACATCACTGAAGACTCTTGCACCAGAGTTTAGCTGAAAAATCTGAAGGGCTTGGAAGCTAGCAGGCCCTTCAAATGAAGGTGAGGAATGGTAACAGCTGATTTGCAATGTAGCTCTTGTGGAATGCTGAGTACACCATGGAAATATAAGGTTTAGTGCGTGTGATTTAAAAAATAAGAAATGAAAAGCTTTTAAAATGATATCATGTGCCGAATGTGGCTTGGTATAGATTTGAAGACTCAGAATTCAGAATTCTGGTGATAAAGGCTACATCTAGACTACAAAGGTAAGTCGGAAAAAGATACGCAAAATGTGACCCGTAATCTTTTTCCAGTTTTCTTTTGAAAGAGGCTTTTACGAAATTTGGCTTTTCTGAAATTCGACATGGTGCCAAATTTTGGAAAAACCTGCTCTTTTGATACATCCCTTATGCCTCGTAAAATTAGGTTTACAATGATGGCAAAAGAGCGCATCTGTTTTTCCGAAGTGTTTTTCGGAAAAGCAGACATGTTCCTTGGATGCGGCATTGGTTTTCTGGGATATCTCTGGCATCCCAGAAAAGCGCTGCAGTCTAGACGTAGCCATACAGTGCTGAAAAAGAGATGGCTTTTCAATCCTTAAACATGCCTTGGAAACACATCTTAAAATGTGTTTTGGCTCAGAAAAGAGCCATCATAAAGCACCATAAAATAATCGATACACTGCTAACAACAGGTAGAGTTTGGTAAAGGCCCAGGAAATCAGGGCTGTGAAAAACTGTGCATCGTGTCTTTTGGATATGTCTTTGTAAATTGTGCTGTGTGTTGCAGAATTCCAGCTTAGTTGAAAGAAATAAATGAAAATGATGCTTCAGTCTCTATTATATCCCATTACTAAAATTAGTCTCCTAAAATCTGCTGTTGCTATAAAGCTCTTCAGGGAAAGTACCTTGCATTCTTTTCTGGTTCAAAAGAGCCACATTATAGGTAACACTAAAAATAAAATAATACATTTTTCATATATATAGTTTCTTTAATCTCAAAGCACTTTATAGTCCATATGTTTAAAGAGCTACAGAAATCCATCCGTCTCTCGTTTGGGAGCAACCATTAGGCAGACTAGTTAATACAGTGGGTAAGGGAAAATTTTGGACAAGTATTTTAAAGCAAGCTCATACCATTCTGAGACGGGCCCTGAGATTTTGAATGTCCATACAGAGAAGGGAGGGCTTTCTAGATTTAAGGCTCCTCTAAACAATCTTTTTGAAGTAAAATGCATGGATCTCAGTTTACAATGAACAGCTTAGACCTGCTGGCTGGAGTCTGAACTGAGGCTTGCTGAATCTAGTATTATCCTCCACATTTGCTTCCTACACAGCCTGTTTAGTTCATGTAGCCACCTGCAGGTGGATTTGAACCTGGGACGCTTAGTGTAGGAGCCTCTTCAGCTTGAGCTATAAAGCCAGCTGGCTCTCAGCTTAGGCTGTAGAACTCCCTTGTTCTTATCTCTTACTGTAAGTCATGTAAGTGCCACTAGTTGGGACAGTGAATCATACTCACGAGGTGTATATATAGATATACTCTCTGTAGATAATGGATCAGTGGAAGCACCTCAGGAAAACTAGAAGAGGATAAGTAGTTTCTATCTTGCTTTGCTTCATAGACAATTATCTTCACTAACTGCTCCAAAATTGGGTTCTCATTATACCTTTACCTTTCACATTTGCCAGTTCACTTGTACCTCAAGTGAAACTGACGAGTGGCTGCGTCTAGACTGGCATGATTTTGCAGAAATACTTTTAATGGAAAAGTTTTTCCGTTAAAAGTATTTCCGCAAAAGTGCGTCTAGATTGGCACGGATGCTTTTGCGTAAAATGTACTTTTGCGCAAAAGCATCCGTGGCCAGTCTAGACGCGATTTTGCGCAAGAAAGCCCCGATCACCATTTTAGCCATCGGGGCTTTTTTGTGCAAAACAGTTCTTCCCTGTCTACACTGGCCCTCTTGCACAAGTATTCTTGCGCAAGAGGGCTTTTCCCCGAGCGGGAGCATGAAAGTATTTGCGCAAGAAGCACTGATTTTGTACATTACAAAGTCAGTGCTCTTGCGCAAATTCAAGTGGCCAGTGTAGACAGCTGGCAAGTTTTTGCGCAAAAGCGGGCCAGTCTAGACGCACCCACTGTGTAGGCCGACTCTAATGAATTATTTCTTCTCATTGTCATGGAGGAGGAAAGAATAGCCCCAAGGTCCACACTGACGTGCTTTCGGGGGATCATTCCTTCTCAATGCTGCAGCTGGTGATTAGTATAACTCTGGTCCTGTGATCCAGCATTACGCAATAAAGCCATGATTCAGCAAAGCGTTTAAGTGCATGATGATTTTAAAAGTCATGCTACTACTACTTACTACTATTTTACTCTCTGCCACCTCCCTTTTGTATCTCAGGTACAGTGACCTTCAAATAATGGTAATTTTGTTTGTGTTATTTATTGCTAATTAACTGCACTCTGGGTACTGGATGTGACATGAGAACAAAGGGAGATAGAGGCCATGTCCCAAGTTGATGGTAAGTAAAATGCAGGCAGACAAAACTAATCATATTAGGGGACCCAGAGGAAGGCTCTGCCTCATAGCATCTGTATGTATTTCGGTAGTGGTGAAAGACAGTCTTTGCTGATGGTGGGCTTTGCAAAAGAGAGGAGATTTGAGGATGAATTTGCAAGACTAGAGGGTGGATGTCTGACTCACTGAAGCAGGGGTAAGTTTAGACATAAGCATTGCATAGAAGGAAGGCTGAAGATCTCACCTCTTTCAGTGTGCCTGGCCAAACTGTAGCTGCAAGCATGTTCCAAGGATCTGGGGTTTCATCTAAAGCCCAGATCCCCAAAAGCTTTGATGCATTTTGGATCAGGACCTTATCTTTTGTCAACATTAGACCATAGACTCCTAGGGCTGGAAAAGAACTCAGGAGGTCAAGTTCAGCCCCAGGCCCGAAGCAGAACAAACCCCAGCTAGATCAACCCAGCCAGGGCCTTGTCAAGATGGAATTTAAAAACCTCTAGGGATGTAGATTCCACCACCTCCCTAGGTAACCCATTCCAGTGCTTCACCACCCTCCTAGGGAAATCAATTTTCTTAATATCCAACCTAGACCTGCCCCACTGTAACTTGAGACCATTGCTCCTTGTTCTGCCATTCATCACTACTGTGAACGGTCTTTCTCCATCCTCTTTGGAACCTCCCTTCAGGAAGTTGAAGGCTGCTATCAAATCCCCCCTCACTCTTTGCTTCTGCAGACTAAACAAACCCAAATCCCTCAGCCTCTCCTCATAGGTCATGTGCTTCAGCCCCCTAATCATTTTGGTCACCCTCCACTGGACCCTCTCCACTGCGTCCACATCCTTTCTATAGTGGGGGGCCCAGAACTGGACACAATACTCCAGATGTGGCCTCACCAGAGCCGAATAAAGGGGAATAATCACTTCTCTGGATCTGCTGGCAATGCTCCTCCTAATGCAACCTAATATGCCATTAGCCTTCTTGGCTACAAGGACACGCTGTTGACTCATATCCAGCTTCTCATCCGCTGTAATTGCCAGGTCCTTTTCTGCTGAACTGCTACTTAGCCATTCAGTCCCCAACTTGTAACAATGCTTGGGAATCTTCCGTCCCAAGTGCAGGACTCTACACTTGTCCTTGTTGAACTACATCTTCAACTATCCAGATATATGTTGGGAAAATAACACTGCGGGGCACAGAATATCCAATAAGTTCTTGGACTGCATTGGAGACAACTTTTTATTTCAGAAAGCTGAAAAAGCTACCGGGGGCGGGGGGAGGGGGGGAGAGAAGCTGTTCTAGATTTGATCCTAACAAATAGGGAGGAACTAGTTGAGAATTTGAAAGTGGAAGGCAGCTTGGGTGAAAGTGATCATGAAATCAGAGTTCACAATTCTAAGGCAGGGTAGAAGGGAGAACAGCAAAATAGAGACAATGGATTTCAGGAAGGTGGATTTTGGTAAGCTCAGAGAGCTGATAGGTAAGGTCCCACGGGAATCAAGACTGAGGGGAAAAACAGCTGAGGAGAGTTGGTAGTTTTTCACAGGGAAATTATTAAGAGCCCAAAAGCAAGCTATTCCACTATGTCGGAAAGATAGAAACCACGAGATCTTGCATGATCTAAAAATAAAAAAAGAGTCCTATAAAAAAATGGAAAGTAGGACAAATTAGAAAGCATGAATATAGGCAAACAACACAGGAATGAAGGAGCAAGATTAGAAAGGCAAAGGCCCAAAATGAACTCAAACTAGCTACAGGAATAAAGAGAAACAAGAAGACTTTTTATAAATACATTAGAAGCAAGATGAAGACCAAGGACAGGGTAGGCCCTGTCATGGCTCCTTCCCCACCGTGGCATGATAAATGCAGAAGTGGGGGCCAGCAAGTGTACCCCAAAGCCTTTCTACCAGGCTTTGGTATAAAACTTCCCCTCAAAATCTTAAAAACCCAGATTTTGGGAATAAAACTTCCGCTGCCACACCCAAATATTAATAACGAGATTAGGGGAAAGATCATTTGGGAAATCTCACCCCTATTATAAAAATCAGGACACACAAGTAACCAAAACCAGGTTAATAAAAAGAAAAGAGAAAACTTTTATTATTACAACAATATTCCTGTTGCAAGCATAAAGATCAGATGGAAAGGTAACAAAATATACTCATGGAGGAATTACACCATAGGCTAGAACTTAGTTAAAAAGAAAAGCCAAACATCTCTTAAGCAGTGCCAGATCTCAGATCCCATACCCAACCCTTAAAACAATAAAGCCTAACGAAACTACCTAAACTTTACCCTACTTACAGAAAGTGAATACTTGTTTCTCGGAGAGAGAGAGACATACTTGTCCCTCCCTGTAGCTGCAGAGGACTCACCCAGAGAGAGAAAAAAAGAAAGGAAAAAACCCAAATTCCTTTGTCCCAGTTTGAAAGTCCCACCTACATTCCTATTGGCCACTCCACCTGGCTAGGTGTAGTTAACCCCTTAATCCTCAGGCTGCTGGCTAACCCTCATAATCATGACAGGCCCACTGGTCAGCGAGGAG